TGGGAAACTGCAACAACCCAATCCAAACAGGAGAACAAATGGCCCGGACCCTTCAGGGATGTAAGTATGGGTCAAAGGCAGGAGATTCCTTAGGGCGACTTTTGGTGTTACCATGTCCTGTGATTAAGGTCAATGGGAAACTGTAACGACCCAATCCAGACAGGACAACAAATGGCCCAGACCCCTCAGGGATGAAAGTATGGGTCACTCCTCTGGGGAAAGAGCCAAGATCTGCAGAGGTGCTTGCTGATGGTGGAGGAAATACAGAATGGGCAGTAGAGGAAGGTAGTTACAAATACCAGTTGCAGAAATGTGGATTGTAATTGACATGAGTATTTTGTCCTATTTGGTTAAGAATAGGCTTGTGCATGTATACACATGTTAAGCAGATACTTTTGTTATTCTTTTTTGAATGTGTAATTGAGTTAAGTGTTAAGTGGTTAAGTGTTGTGAACCTATATGATTATATTGGGTTATGAGATACTAAAGGACTAAGCATTCCTTGAAGACCTTATCACCTACTCAAAGATATATAATGCATTGGTCATTGTACGATGGGATAGTCATATCATGTTGGGTGAAATTATGACCTCAACATTGTTTTCATTTGAAAATTAAGCATGACATAGAGAGATGCTCTTGGGTGTCAAGTTGACAAGGGGTGGACTTGTGCTGGCTAATCCTGGGTGTCAACTTGACTGGATCTGGGATTAACTGAAATGAGAGCGATTTTAATTGGATCATCTGAAGCTGGAAGACACACCCTAAATGTGAGCATTACCTTCGGATGACAGCCCGTATAAAAGGCCTTCTGTCTCGCTGGTGAGTTCATCTTGCTGCTGTAGACTGAAGACTAGCTGGTCTTTTGGAATTTGTCAGACCTTCAGCACCAGATTGGGACTACTGAGACATCCAGCCTCATGGACTGAGCCTTTCCAGTGTGTTACAGCCATTGTTGGACTACTCAGACTATCCTGTGAGCTAAGCTGATAAATCTCTACATATATATTCATTCTACTGGTTCTGTTTCTTTGGAGAACCCTGACTAATACACGTGCCGTACAATGCCTGCAGAGGTCAGAAGAGGACGTTGGATTCACCTGGAACTGGAGTTACAGAAGTTAGCCACCATGTGGGTGCTGGGAATCTAATCCAGGCCTTCTGCAAGAGCAGCTAGTGCTCTTAACTGCAGAGCCATCTCTCCAGCCCTATTATTTCTATTTTTATGTAGGTGTCTATATGTGTGTGGTCTGTGTGAGTGAATGCCACTTGTGTGCCCACAAAGGCCAAAAGAGTGTCTCAGATTCCCTGCAGCTAGAAATACAAATGGCTGTCTGCTGCCTGACATGGGCACTGAGCCATCTCTTCAGCCCCTTTGTTTGAGAAAGTCTCACTCTATAGCTTGGACTGACTGAAATCATTATGTAGTCTAGGTTGGCCTCCAATTTATGGCAGTTCTCCTGCCTCAGCTTCCCAAGTGCTGGGATTATAGGCATAAGCCACTATGCCTTGGCTTGAGACAGGATCTCCCTATACCCCTGGTTGGCCTGGAATTCACTATGTAGACCAGGCTGACCTCAGTCTCACAGAGATCCACCTGCTCCTGTCTCCTGAGTGCCTGACTTTTTATTAGACTTTAAAAACTGTTTATTTTTATTTTTTATGTGTATAAGTGTTTTACCTTCATGTATATATGTACACCATGTATGTTCAGTGTCCATAGCTTCCAGAAGAGGGCATCAGATTCCCTGGAACTGGAGATTAGTTATGAACAGTTGTTAGCCATCATGTGGGTGCTGGGATTCGAACCTTAGTCTTCTGTAAGAGCAGCCAGTGTTATTAACCGCTGAGCCATCTCTCCAGCTCTGTTGAAACTTTTAAAAAGTGGTAAGGGGTTGGGGAGATGGCTCAGTGAGTAAAGTGCTTACCATGAAAGCATAAGGGCCTGCGTTTGTTCTCCAGTATCCATGTACAAGCTGGGTGTGGTGTACACATATGAAATCTCAGTGCCAGGGAGGGAGACACAGGATCCTGGGGCTTGCTGGCCAGCCATTCTAGCAGAATGGGTGAGCTCCAACTTCAGTGAGAGACCATGTCTCAAAATATAAGGTAGAGAATGACTGAGGAAAACATGTTGACCTCTGGCCTACACACACACACACACACACACACACACACACACACAAACACATGCATATAGAAACATGCATACAAAAACATGAATAAACAAGTAAAAGTGATAAAAACAATACACATTCAATGGGAACCTGTGAGCCACAGAGGTGGGACATAAGGGCAGGGTCAGCACATTGTTTTGGGGCATTTAAGTTGGTCAGAGCTCACAAATGGGTACCCCAGTACCTTTAGTATTTTGGTTGGGCTGGCACAGTATTTTAAGAAACTAAGTTTTGGTGCCAAGCATGATGGTGCATGCCTTTAATCCAGCACTTGGGAGGCAGAGACAGGCAAATATCTGAGCTTCAGGCCAGCCTGGTCCATGTAAGCAAGTTCCAGGCCAGCCAGCGCTACATAGAACTGTCTCAAAAAACCGGGCACTGGGCCTTCTTCCTGCACAAGATTCATCATCAGCTAGTGCTGAGTGGGTACAGCCCCATGCTCTCCTTGCCCCTGGCCAAGGAACACTTATCGTTTACTGTGACACTTCACTATTGTAGCTGTTGTTTTTAGTAGTACACAAATGTTACTATGTACTCATCTCCTTCAAAAACGCAGAAAGTGAAAGATCCATTGTGAAAGCCACATGCTATAAGATAATGGAAAAGGGGTTGGTTTGTGGTTTGCCTCACTGAGATCTCTTCCTTCTGCGGTCATCTTTTCCCTACAGTAACTAAATCCCTACAGTAACTTCTCCAGCAAACAGCCCAAGCCTGTTTCCTCCACTCCACCCACTGCCCACACTTTCCAAAAGGGTAAAAAAACCTCCCTGCCAACCTACTCATGACTGAGCCTCTGTGTGTGTGTGTGTGTGTGTGTGTGTGTGTGTGTGTGTGTGTACGTGCATGTGCGTGTGTTTGTGTGAGCACGATGGGGATCAAACCTACATCTTTGTACATGACAGGACAAGGACAAACACGCTACCATTTTTATAAAGATTTTTTTTTCTTTTTTGTCTTTTTGAGACAGGGTCTCCCTGTAGCCCCAGCTGGCCTGGAACTCACTATGTAGACCAGGCTGGCCTCAACTCACAAAGATCTGCCTGCCTCTGCCTCCCAAGTGCTGGGATTAAAGGTATGCACCACAACACCTGGCAAAAGATTTTATTTTTATTATTTATATGTATGTATTTGTGTCTTTTGAATGTATGTACAGTGTCCATGGAGAAGAAGGTGTCAGATTCCTTAGAGCTAGAGTTACAGGACATTGTGAGCCACCTGATGTGGGTGCTGAGAACTGATCTCAAGAGCAGCAAGCGCCCCTAACCACCGAACCATTTCTTCAGCCCTGTGCTCTATCACTTTTTGAGACAAGCTATGTAGCCCAGTCTGGCCTTAATTCTCAGTCCTCTTCAACTTCTCAAATGCTGAGATTACAGGTGTGTACCACCACACCCTTTTTCTTCAGTTCTGGAGGCTGAATCTAGGGCTTTGGATATGTTAGGCAAGCCATCTACTTCTGATATATAACCTCAGCCCATAAGATTTAAAAACATTTTATTTATTTATTATTTGTTTATTTGTGGTATGGAGGTTAGAGGACAACTTACTGGAGTCATTTTTCTCCTTCCATCACATGGGCTCCAGGGATCAAACTCAGGACAGTAGTCCTGGTAGCAAGTGCTTTTACCTGCTGAGCCATCTTTTCAGCTCTTATGGTGCTTTAAATGATTTGATTTTTGTATAATTAAGAGAATCCTTGTCTTAGGCCTGGAGAGATGGCTCAGTAGTTAAGAGCACTTGGTGCTCTTGCAGAGAACCCAGGCTTAGCTTTCAGTACCCACATGGAGATTCAAAACCTGAAACTCCAGTTCCCTGGGATCTGACATCCTCTTCTGGCCTCCACAGGCATTATATGCCTGTTGTGTACATACATACATGTAGGCAAACACTCATACACATAAAAATAAAGCTTTCTAAAATATTTTTATTTTATATGTATGGGTATATTACCTGCATGTGTATAAGTGAACCCATGTTGTGCAATGCCTGCAGAGGTCAAAAGAGGGAGTTGGATCCCCTGGAACTGGAGTTACAGATGGTTGTTAGCCATCATGTGAGTGTTGGAAACCAAACCTGGGTCCTCCGCAAGAGCAGCTAGTTCTCTTAGCTGCTGAACCATCTCCCCAGCCCCTAAAATAAAGGGTTTTTTTGGTCCATTTGAGACAGTGTTTCTCTGTAGCCCCAGCCATCCTAGAACACACTATGTAGAGCAGGCTGGCCTTGAACTCACAGAGATCCACCTGTCTCTGCCTCCCAAGTGCTGGGATCAAAGGCGTGCGCCCCCTGCCCGGCATCTTTTTTTTAAGAATAAAAGAAAACAGTCTTAGGCAACTGTCAGAGTGCAGGAAAATTTGTGGAAGCAAGGATGGAGATAGAAATGGAAAAAAATGAGTCAAACATAGCCGGGCATGGTGGTGCATGCCTTTAATCCCAGCACTCGGGAGGCAGAGGCAGGTGGATCTCTGTGAGATCAAGGCCAGCCTGGTCTACATAGTGAGTTCTGGGGCTAAAGAGAAACTGTCTCAAAATGACCAAAAAAAGAAGGCCTGGCTTGGCTTGGTGGTGCATACCTTTAGTTCCAGCACTTGGGAGGCAGAGGCAGGCAGATCTCTTGTGAGTTGAGAGTTCCAGGACAACTTGGGCTGGAGGGAGACCCAGTGTCAAAAAAACCCCTCAAACTTTTAGTTGTTTTGTGTCAAAATTTGTGTCAGTTGTTTTAGTGTATGGGTACAAAGATTGTAATTGGAACTTTTTAGGGGAAAACTTGTTTATGTATACGTTCATATTCTGTATATAAATATATTTTTGCCATTTGTTTTGCAGATTGTTGGATTAATGAAATGCTTTCCTAAACAATAAGAGGCTGAAGATGGCTAGACAGAATTTAGTGGCTTTGGCAGTAACCACCCTTCTGGGTGTGGCCATGGGGGGATTCGTCCTATGGAAAGGCATCCAGCGCCGACGGAGTAAGACCAGTCGAGTGATGCCACCGCCGCCGCCACCGCCGCTGCCGCAGCAGCAAGTGCCAAACAGGGAATGGCCCCCTCCAGAAGACAGCCAGCTGTCCTCTGGTGTCCTGAGAGGGCCCAGAGCCTCATGGGAGGAGAGGATACTCCAGGCAAAGGTGGTGATGGTGTCTCAGGAGACAGAGTGGGATCAAATCCAGCCGTTACTTAGAAGAGAGTTGGAAAATTTTCCAGTACTTGGAATTGACTGTGAATGGGTAAGTTAAAAATTAATAATTAGAAAAGAATCTCTTCAGGTTTTCCAACTTGGGTTATGGGTAGGCAAGAATAGAGTAAGAGGAAGAGAGACTAACTTTGTTCTTGATATGCTTTTTGTTTTTTCTTTTTGAGACAGGGTCTTCCTGTAGCCCCAGCTGACCTGGAAGTTGCTATGTAGACCAACCTGGCCTTGAACTCATAGAGATCTGACGGCCTCTACCTCCCGAGTGCTGGGACTAAAGGCGTGCGCCACCATACCAGCTTGAAATCAGGTTCTCCAGAAGAGCAGTACATGCTTTTAACCATTGAGCCATCACTCCAGCCCTGCTTTAGGAATTTTTAATTGATTAGTTAATTAATGTTAATTAATGCATTGGTGTTTTGCTTGCATGGATTACCTGCATAATGCAATACCCACACATACCAGAAGAGAGTGTTGGATTCCCTAGAACTGAGTTGCAGATGGTTGTTGTGGGTGCTGGGAACCAAACCTGGGTCCTCTACAAGAGCAGCCAGTATTCTTAACTGCTGAGCATCTAGCCAGCCTCTTTGTTATTTTTAACTCTTAATATGTAAAGGTCCTTCATTATGCGCAACATTCATGCTTTGTTTTGTTTTGTTTTTTCTTTTGTGAACTCCGTTTGTGACTAGAAAACACTGAGAAAGAATTTGTACCACAAAATTCTGTTATATTTACAGGTGCCACATATTACAGATTTGAATTTTCTAACTTTTTAAAAAACTCAGCTCTTGAGTGCTGATAAGGCAAACGAGGGGAGTTCCTAGCAGTGCAGAAGAATGTTTGGACATGGTGCCATTTGGCACTCTGCTTTTTTTTTTTAATATTTTATTATTTTTATTTTAATGTGTATGCATGTATTGCCTGCGTGTAGGTAAGTGCCCCCGTGTCATGCAGTGCCCGTGGAGGACAGAAGAGGCTGTCGGATCCCCTGGAACTGGAGTTAACAGTTAATTGTCATGTGGGTGCTGGGATTCGAACCTGGGTGTTCCGCAAGAGCAACCAGTGTTCTTAACCACTGAGTCATCTCTCCCGCCCAGCATTCTGCCTTTTTGTCTTAGCTTTTTAAATCTAGCGTTTTCTCCTGACTGCCAGTATGTGTTCCGGAGCACCTCTGTGTCAGCTGGTCACTGTTTATGGACTGCTCACATTTCAGGGCCTGGAGTTGGGCCCTCAAGAAGCTTTGTTTAGCCTGTGGCTTCACAAAGCCCCTGTATCTATTAACATGAGCTCTCCTTATGTTTAATCCCAAATCTGTTTTGTTGTCTTTGGAAGTTCAGGATATATCTTTTAGACTTGCTTTTTTTGACCAGATTTCTTTTTGTGTTTGCTGCTGTGCAAGGATGTGAATCCTGCTCTGTCTTGCTCTATTACAGGTGAATTTGGAAGGCAAAGCTAGTCCTCTGTCACTCCTACAAATGGCTTTGCCCAGTGGTTTTTGTGCCTTGCTTCGCTTGCCCAAGCTGATCCGTGGAGGCAAAACACTACCAAGAACACTTTTGGACATACTGGCAGATGGCACCATTTTGAAAGTAGGAGTGGGATGCTCAGAAGATGCCAGCAAGCTTCTGCAGGATTATGGCCTCATTGTCCGGGGATGTCTGGACCTCCGGTATCTAGCCATGGAGCAGGGGTATGGTTTGTTTGCATGCTTAGATTTCTGCAGCTGTGGGGTAGACATTTTAAAGATTTGTAAATTACTGGGACTCAATAATGAAGCATCTAAAATTCATTAGGAACATAAAGACTTTGGAAATGTGTATTGAATTTGTGAGGAGACATTCCAACTTCTGAGAAAAGTTTAGTTACCTAGAATTTGTCTTTTTTGATGAAACATTAATAAGGTATCACTTGCTAATAGGGATTTATAAACCTATGGCCCCATAGCTGAGTTAGAGCTGTAGATTTTTTTGTTTTGTTTTGTTTTTTGAGACAGGGTCTCTCTGTAGCCCCAGATGGCCTGGAACTTGCTATGTAGACCAGGCTGGCCTCCATCTTACAGAAATCTACCTACCTCTGCCTCCCAAGTACTGGAATTAAAGATGTGTATCATCACGCCCATTTAGAGCTATAGATTTTTTTATTTTGTTCTCCCCCTGCCCCAGGGTGAATTTTGTTTTGAATCCAGAAGATTGAATAGAAGAATCTGTGTTTCTGACTTCTCTTGAGAAATTAGATGATCTGACTCTACTAAATCCTGAGCTGAAGGTGCCAGCAATGGGCTAGGTTTTGACATTGTTTTTAGATGAGCATGTTGTATTTAACTTCAACAGTCCTCACCACTCCCAGGTCAGCCCTGACTCTTGGACTCTTTGAGTTTGAAAATTCTGCCTTAGGCCCAAATGATGGAAGACCTTGTTTTTGTCCTTATCCTTACCTGGGAGGAAGAAAGACTTTCCGTTTTAGAATTCTCTTCTATAGAAACTCACCTTGTCTCTAGGGGTCAGAGTCATTTTCTCATCAATATGCACAGTCGACATTTACACTGACAGGGCCTGAAACAGCCTTTTGTCCTGCCTCAGACAGCACTGTCGCCACAAGGTGGAGGACTTCATCAATTTAGAGAAGGCCTGATTAAATTTGTGCTTATCAGAATTTTTTAGCATGAAGCGAATTCTTATTTTAGTTTGTTACTTTGGTTTATATACAAAAGCTCTTCTGAGTGAAGTGTATTTTTTCTAGTAATATATTAAAATGTTACCATAAACATTAAAACTCTAAAAAAATTTGAACTATAAAAAACCTGTATTTCTCTCTCTTTTTTTGTGTGTGTTTTTGAGACAGAGTCTCCCTGTAGTCCCAGCTGACCTAGAAACTCATTATGTAGACCAGGCTGGCCTTGAACTCAAGAGATCCCTCTGCCTGTGCCTCCCAAGTACTAGGATTAAAGGTGTGTGCTACCATGCCCCACTAAGAAACTGGCATATTTGATTAGCTCTTTCTGAACTCTGCTGTATATAGAGGCTCAAAAAAGTTGACTTAGGGGCCTAGAGAGATAGCTCAGCCATTAAGAGTATTGGGTGCTCTTTTTTTCTTTCTTTCTTTCTTTTTTTTTTTTCGGTCTTTTTTTGAGACAGGGTCTCCCTGTAGCCCCAGCTGGCTTGGAACAAACTATGTAGACCAGGCTGGCCTTGAACTCACAGAGATCACCTGCCTCTGCCTCCCAAGTGGTGGGATCAAAGGTGTGCGTCACCACACCCAGCATACTGGGTGCTCTTATAGAGGACCTGGGCTCTGTTCTCAGCACCCACTTAGTGGTTCAAAACTGCCTGTAACTCTAGTTCCAGGGAACCAACACCCTTTTCTGGCCTCCTCAGGTACTGCATGCACATGGCATATATACATACACAAAGGCAAAACACTCATATACATAAAATAAACCTTTTTTTAAAAAAAGTTGACTGAGTACGTGACACACCAACAATGCACCCTCTATACCTAAGGCTCATGGAACATAGAACAGGGGTAAAGAAGAGGGCACTAATAAATCTCTCAGTTCTTATTAATGAAGCTCCCTCATATGGTGGAAGGCCAGGAACACAAAAGGTCACAAATGACCAAAGCATAGAGATAAGGAGTGTGCTGAATGCTGGTCCTTGGACAGGACTCCTTTATTAAATTTCACCCACCCAAGGCTCAGGGACCATCGAGGAAGAGGAGGCAGAAAGATTGTAAGAGCCAGGGAGGAGGTACATGGCCGTATGGAAACAGTCCTACAAGCTCCTGGGACCCTGCTCATATGATTCTGTGGTAATGATGACAATATACACAAGTCCTATGCAAATTCGGGCAGACAAAAACCCAGCATAGACCTGGAAAATGAACAGCAGACTCCAATCTTTTCTGAAGAAATATTGGCAACTAATTGCTGCTAGGTGAAGAAGAGCTGATCTTCCTGAAACAAGGGACTCTAGATAAGCTGACTAGACCTCAGTGGATGGACTTGCACTGGGGAATGTCTCGGGACACTGACTTGACACAATGGGCCTTAACAGGGATGACAGAGTAGATGGTCTCCAGTGGAGGAACTATGGGAGAGTGCCAGTAGGTACGAGGGTATAAAGATGATTAGGATAGTGTTAATTAAATTTCTGGAAAAAAATGTTGACTGAGGGGCTGGAGAGATGGCTCAGCATTTAAGAGTACTGGCTGCTCTTGCACAGGACCTGGGTTCAGTTCTCAGCACTAATGTGGCAACTAACAACTGTCCTAACTCCAGTTCGAGGGGATCTGACCTCCTTGGGCATTGTACAACACAGGTTCACTTATGTACATGCAGGCAATACACTCATACACATAAAATAAAAATAACGAAATATTATTTTGACTTAGGAGCGGACTGCATGATGGGAGGGAGTGTCAGTGCTGCCGTTTACCAACTGTGTGACCATTAGCAAAATATTGAACCTCTCTGTTCCTCAGTTTCCTCATCTATGCAGATAATAATATCTTACCTCATAGGGTTGTTGTAAAGATTAAATGACTAAATAATAGAGAATTGAGGAGTATTGTTTATTATATAGAATGTTATGTAAATTTTAACTATTAACCCTCATGATCAGCATTACTGGAATTCCAGCATAATCGTCATTTGATTGATTTTCTTTCTGGATCTTTTTCTATAGATTTGCAGACATCTACATGAGAACATACAAACTGAAGGTGCATTGAGTTCTGTGTTTGAGTAAATGCAGAATTACTGATTGTTACAATAAGAATTTGGCTAAAGGTGGGCTGGATATGGTAGTTCACTTATATACTACCAGCACCCAAGAGGCTGAGGCAGGAGTATCACAAGTTGGAGGTCAACCTGGGCTACATAGTGAGCCCCTGTCTCAAAAACATCCACAAGAAGAATTGTCCCAAAGTTGAATATTATCATGAACTTTTCTAGAATAAGAATGAAACTTTTGGGCCAGGCAGGGTAGTGTGTACCTTCAGTCCCGGCACTGGGGAGGCAGAGACAAGTGGATCTTTGAGTTTGAGGTCAGTTTGGTCTATGAAGTGAGTATCAGGCCAGCCAGAGTTACATAATGAGACCCTGTCTAAAAAAATGGAGGGAGAGGGGGCTAGAGAGATGACTCAGTGGTTAAGAGCACTGACTGTTCTTGCAGAGGACCCAGGTTTGATTCCTAGCACCCACATGGCGGCTAACAGCTGTCCACTCTGGAAACAGAGGCAGAGGCAGGTGGATCTCTGTGAGATCAAGGCAAGAACAACAAATGGTCTTAACTGCTGAGCCATTTCTCCAGCCCCACCTATTTTATTTTACTCTGTTATGCTTTATTTCATTTTATTGCAGGAGATTGAACCTAGAGCCTTGTTCATGCTAACCAGGTGTTCCACTACTGAGCTGCACTCCAAACCCTACTATTGTAGTTTTTAATAAAATAAAGTTTAGGCCGGGCATTGTGGGGCATGCCTTTAATCCCAGCACTGGAGGCTGACAAAAACAAAAAAATTCTAAGTGAAGAAAAAAAAAAGTAAGGAGGAAAAATGGAAAAGATGCAAGAAGAAAAAAAAATTAAGCAAAAAAAAAAAAAAAAAGAAAAGACAAAAAAGTTTAATATCTCCCTCACATTCTCAATTTCTGTGATTTTAAGAAGACTTGTATAATTTATTCAAATGTACCTGGGCCTTTTTGTGTGTTTTGGTTTCGTTGTAATGAGATATATGAATTTACTACTTGTTTGGTAAAGGAAGGTTTCCTTTTCTTCCTCATTGCAATGGTATTGGTTCCTGCAGTCTGAGGGAACACTGGGTGCTGCAAATGACAGGAGCCTCTACCCCTCAGCTTGCTGTTCTATGACTTTAGACACTCACATGGAACTTAGTCAGCTCTGCTTCGTATACTGACTTTTATTGTTATTTTGGCACCGGGAATTTGAGGGCTCTAGGATCTCGTGCATAGGCAAGTAGTCCATCACTTAGCTATAACTCTAGCCCCTGTTCCCTCTCCCCTGGTACTGGGGATTGATCCTAGGGCCCCATGCATTCTAGGCAAGTACTGTACTGATATGTCTGAATAGAGGTCTTTTTTTATTTTATTTATTTTATGTGTATGAGTGTATTGCCTGTATGTGTGTGTGTGTGCACCCATGTCATGCAGTGCCTCGGAGGTCAGAAGAGGGCTTCGGATTCCTCTGAAACTGGAGTTAAGGACGGTTCATAGCCTCCATGTGGGTGCTGGGAATCGAACCCAGGTCCTCTGCAAGATCAGTCAGTGCTCTTAACTGCTGAGCAATCTCTCCAGCCCTTATTTATTTATTTTTACAGACAGGGTCTCATGGACTGGGAAGATGGCTCATCAGGTAAAAAGCAGTTGTCACAAAAGCATGAGGACTTAATTGCATCCCCAGAAACAAGACTAGGTAATGTGCATCTGTAATCCCAGTGCTCCTGCATGAGATGGGAGGCAGAAGTGGGAATCCCAGGAAGCTTGCTGGCCAGCTAATCTGGCATATTGAGCTGTGAACAGCAAAGAGATCCCATTTCAAATAAGGTAGAAAACAAGGAAAGAGACCCAAGGTTGTCCTCTGACCTCCACATACATGCTGTGGCATGTGAGCACCTGCACTCACATCATACACGCTCAAAAAGATTTTAAATAAATGAATGAATAAATAATAAGGTCTCAGGTAGCCTTGTTGGTCTTGAACTCTATGTACTTTTATCTCCCCAATAAAAGTAACCTTATTTTCAGATTTAAAAAGTAAGGCATGAGCATTATTGAAGGACATTTAGGTTGTTTCCAGTTCTTTCTTACTATAAAGTGCTGCAGTGAATATTCTTTTAAGTATCTTTATCCTTTGAATAAACTTCCAGAAATGGAACTGCTAAATCAGAGAATTTTGTGTTCCAAATTTTTGATATTTATTATTGAATTGTTTTTTGTAATGATTATAAAGGTGTCCAGTTCACAAATTTTAGATGATATTAATAGAGTTTTCATGCTCCATCGATGCTAAGTATGTTTTTTTTTTTCTTTTTGAGACAGGGTCTCCTTGTAGCCCCAGCTATCCCAGAACTCACTATGTAGACCAGGCTAACCTCAAACTCACAAAGATCCGCCTGCCTCTGCCTCCCAAGTGCTGGTATTAAAGGTGTGTGCCACCATGCCAGGCCAGTATGTTTTACACTACATGGGTGCACTCACATGCAGGCAATACACTTGTACACATAGAGTTAAAATAATAAAATATTTTTTTTAAAAAAACCTTCGTAGCTGGGTGTAGTTGCACACGCCTTTAATCCTAGTACTTGGGAGGCAGAGGCAGGCAACCAGCCTGGTCTACAAATCGGGTTCCAGGCCAGCGGGGGCTTCAGGAAGACCTTGTCTCAAAAAGACCAAAATAAATAAATAAAATAAAATTTAAAAACAATCTTTGCGAACCGGGCATGGTGGCGCATGCCTGTAGTCCCAGAACTGGGAGGCAGAGGCAGGCAGATCTCTGTGAGTTCAAGGCCAGCCTGGTCTACATAGTGAGTTCTAGGACAGCTGGGGCTACAGGGAGACCCTGCTTCAAAAAACAAAACAAACAAACAAAAAAAACCTTTGCACTGGCCCTGGTGGTATACTCCTTTAATCCTTTAGTCCCAGACACAGGTGGATCTCTATGAATTCAAGGCTAGTCTGGTCTACCTAGTGAGTTCCAGGGAGACCTGGTCTCAAAAGTGCTAAAAAAAAAACAACCCTTTGCAATCTAATAGCAAATAATTATTTTCTTTGATTTCTTGTGATTATCTGTCCTCTCTTTATTGGTCATTTAAATTTTTTTCTACTCATGTTGTTGCCCATTTTTGATACATGGTTTTATTTATTTTTTATAGAAACAATTTACTCTGTAATGGGCTTAGCCTGAAATCACTTGCTGAGACTATTTTGAACTTTCCACTTGACAAGTCCCTTCTCCTTCGTTGCAGCAACTGGGATGCTGAGAATCTTACAGAAGACCAGGTAGTTATCAGAGCACTTGAAGATTCTAATCTTCAAATATAAGCATTGGGTGGAGAGACCTAAAGTAGATTTACTGTGTGGTGATACTTAAGGACAATAATATTTATGCTACTTAAATATTAATGAGATCATACTGTATTTTATTTTAAAAGTGCTATAACTCACTATAAGAAACAATAAGTAGGGCCTGGAGAGATGAGATGGCTCAGTGGTTAAGAGCACTGGCTGCTGTTGCAGAGGACCCAGGTTCAGTCCCTGGCACCCACATGGCAGCTAACAACTGTCCACAACTCTAGTTCCAGGGAATCTGATGTCCTCCTTTGGCCTCTGGGTTTGCATGCACATGATAGACTTACATATGTGCAGGCAATACACTCATACACACAAAATAAAAGTAAATAAATTAGTAAAAATAAATTAGTAAAAAAAGAAACAGTAAGTAGACAGGCGTGGTGGTACACACCTTTACTTCCAGCACTTTGGAGGCAGAGACAGGCGAACCTCTGAGTTCCAGGACAGACTGGTCTACATAGTGAGTTTCTGATGCCCTCTTCTGGCCTCCATGGTTATATAACATGGATGTACTTTTATGTACATGCAGACAAAACACTCATATACATAAACTTAAATAAGTTTTATAAAATAAAAAATAAACAAAAAGAAACAGTGACTAGTTCTCTGCCTTTCTCTCCCCACTCCTTTTTCTTCTTTCTTCTCAGAGGCAACCACGTTAATCTCTTTCTGGTGTTTACTATTATACCTCTAGATTTCATGCATGTGTTTCTCTTATTTTTTTAATCATTGTTTTTTTAAAATTTTTAATAACTACATGATTAGAAGAAGCATTTCACTGCAGCTTTAACATATTCAGTAACACACTCCAGAACAAGAGTACATCTCTTTCACAAGTGGCTGCAAGTTTCTAGGTTCACAGTTGAATTAATACAGTTGTACAATATTGAACTCAGTATAAGCCCTGTAAGACATAAAATTGAATGAGTTTTTAGCCTTTAAGAAGTATCTCCATCTCATTTTAGAATATATTGTTCCTTGCAGAAAGACTCATTGTTTTTGCTACTAACACTGAGATGTTGGCGCATGCATCTCTAATCTGTATGTATCTGATTATTACTAGTCATAATCAGTTGCACTTGGATCCTTGGTGCCTGTGTATGTCTATAAAGTCATCGGGTAGATTTCAATGGTAATGTTACTCTTATTTGTGCATAGTATGTTTTGATTTCTTACAAGGAAGGTATGATTTAATGCCCCTCCACTTCCTGTACCCCAAATATTTATCCCTATGCCATTTTCCCAATATAAATGTTTTCATCAAGAATAATTTGTTTTTGTAGGTTACATAATTTGTGTTTTTGTTTGCTTAGTTTCAACTCCAACACCAGCCTGTGTAAAAGAACCGTGGATCTCTTGGCTTTCTCAGACCATTAAGCACACTGAACAGTTTTCCTGTGGTGCTATCCTCCGAGAGTACCTCGCTGTTCTGCTCTACTCCAGGCTGAAATTGGCTTTTTATGTTGGTCTGTGGTTCCCTTTACCTCTCTTCTAGCAGTAGATCCCCTAATGTATAAATCCTATCTCTGTCTGTTTGACACCCTACTTGTGTGCAAAGATAAGTGGTTTCCCTCCTATAGCCCCTGCTTTGGCTGTTAGCAGTTTGGGGTAGGAGTCATTTCCTTCAGAGCTTTGAAGGCAGTGCTTCTTGTCTTCCAATGTTGATTTTAGTGCATGACTTCTTGTTCTTTCCAAAAATTCTCATCTTTCTCCCTCCTTGTTTGAAATTCAAGATGATAGGCATGAGTGTAGATCACATTTCATTCACTGTTGTAGTGGTCAGTAGACCCTTTCTGTCTGGATGCTCACGTCTTCTGTTCAGGGACTTATCCTCAGATTATTCTCTTTGAAAATTTGCTGCTCTCCTTTTTTTGTTTTTAGAACTCCTTTTTTTTTTTTATCAGACTCCTGAAATTGGTCCTCTAATTTTCTTTTTCTTGTTTTTGAGACAAGAATCTCATGTTTGTCTGTACATCTCACGGTAGTAGGAGTGTTGGGATTACAGGTGGATGCTACTGCATCAGGCTTTTTTTTTTTTTAATCTTTTTTGAGACAGCGCCGCCCTGTAGCCCCAGCTGTCCTAGAACTCACTCTGTAGACCAGGCTGGCCTTGAACTCACAGAGTTCCACCTGTCTCTGCCTCCCAGAGTGTCTATTCATATTTAAGAAGGAGATACAAGGTTTAGGGATGCATCTTAGCTGGTAGAATGCTCACATGACATACAAGGCCCTGGACTTAATTCCTAGTACTGCACAAAAAGCAAGCAAATAAACAAAAAAAAAAAAAAAAAAACAAAGACATAAAAAACTGACTAGATTCATCAGCTGGTAAATAAATAAAGTGTGGTATATATGTATAATGGAATTATAATTGTTAATTGGTGTAATTGTGTACATGAAGCCGGGCATGGTGGCTCAAGCCTGTGATTATTACAGATTTTTCTTTCTTGGCTGGTTCTTGTTTCAAGACCAAGATTGAGGCCTGGACAACCAAGAGTGAGTGAAAAGATAGAAGATTTTATTATCAAGAGGGTGCAGAAAGGGGCCTGCTGAGGGCAGATGAAATAGTGAGGTTCTTATGATTTGTTCTAAACTGAGAACAATGAAAGTAATTTCATTTAGTTTGTAAATTGGGAGAAAAAGTGGGTCCAATTAAGGAGAGCTGGCGGAGGATAAAGATCCTCTGGCTTTCTGTGTCAGCAGTCAGGGAACAAGTCTGGTTTTGGAGGTTTTATTAGGGAATGGTCCTGGCCCATGGAATGTTTCTAGTTGTATGCCCAAGGTCATGGTGACCAGAGAGCTTTCCTAGCTGGGACCCCGTCTAGCTCATTTTGGGATCTGTCTTTTCTCTCTCATAGTCTCAGCACTCAGAAGGCTGAGACAGAGACAGAGACAAAGAGAGAGAGAGAGAGAGAGAGAGAGAGAGAGATTTGAATGAATATGAATTATGCTACATGAGAAAGCCAGTCACACTGGCATAGTATGTGAATTCATTTACATGAAATGTTGAAAACAGGCAAGCCTCCACTAAGAGAAAGTAGAGTAGTGATTACTTCAGGCTGGGGAACTGAGAGATAATTGGTAAAGGATATACAGTTTCTTTGTGGGCTGATGAAAATGTTCTAACATTGATTATGGTAGTAGTTGATTAGTTCTCAATATACTAAAAGTAATTGAAATAGATACTTGAATGAATTGTATGGCATGTAGATTATATCTCAATAAAGCTGTTGCATAAAAGAGAGTTGATTGGTGATAGTATCAACATATGTGATTTTGGGTTTTTAAAAAATGATTTTTTTAAAAAAAAAATTTATGTCTATGGGTGTTTTGCTTGCATGTTATGTGTGCCACATGTATGCAGTGCCTGCAGAGACCAGAAGAGGGAGTTGGATCATCTGGAACTAGAATTACAGATGGTTGTTAGCCACCATTTGGGTGCTGGGAACCAACCCCAGGTCCTTTGCAAGAGCAAGAAGTGCTTTAAACCACTGAACCATCTCTCCAGCCCCAACATATGTGATTCTTAATAGGATTTTCTTTGGAGGCACTGAGGATTGAACACAAGGCCTTGTGGATGCTAGGCAAACAGAGCTGTAGCCCCAGCCCTGTGTATGATGCTTGATTAGGTACTGATTCAGGAATCCTGATCTGTAAATGATATTATTAGGATCATTGGAGACATTAGAACTGTTAGGGAATGTTCTTGTGTTGTGCCAGTGTTATGATTATTAGGAGCGTGTCCCTGTTCTTAAGAACTCACATATTTAGAGTTATTTTTATTACATTTTAATTCATTTATTAGGTGTGTACGTGCACATGTATGACGTGTGTAAAGATCATAGGACAACTTGAGGGAGTCTGTTCTCTTTTACCATATCAGTCCCTGGGATTGAACTCATGTTGACTACAAGTGCCTTTACCCCTAGAGCTTTCCTGATGCCCTGAGGTGAAATATCTTTTTTCGGGGCTTGGGGGGAGGTTGACACAGAGTCTCACTTTGTAGCCCTGGCTAGCTGGAACTTGCTATGTAGACCAGGCTGGCCTTAAACTCAGAAATTTGTGTCTCTGCCTTACAAGTGCTGGGATTGAAGGTATGGGTCACCACTCTTGGCTAAAGTATCTTAATAAATAGAATTTAACTTTGATATGCATCAATATGTAGCAAAAAAAATGTGTGATGTATATTATAAAGGGTTAAAGCTGACCATGGTGGTGCATGCCTTTAATCCCAGCACTCCAGGAGGCAGGGGCAGGTGGATCTTTATGAGCCAGTCTGGTGTGCATAGGAGAGTTCTTGGCCATCCAGAGCTACACAGTGAGACCTTGAAAAAGAATTGAGCATTTATTGATAATTGTGAATGTCAATTGTCATATTCTTTTGTTGCCAAATTTGTGGTCCCTATTATTGCTGTTAACATAGAGAATTTCCAAAGATTCTTATTAATAAATAATGCTTATTTGGGGGCAGTAAGATGGCTTAGTGGGTAAAGGTGCTTGCTTACCACCAAGCCTGACAACCCCTGAAACCCACATGATCAAAGGAGAGAACCACTCCTGTAAGTTATCCTCTTATCTCTATGTACACACAGTGGAGACATGCATCTGCACATGTACATGCATACATGCAAGTATACACACACAAATAAATGTAATATAACAAACAATGCTCTTTTTTTTTTTTCTAATTACAAACATAATGCTTAAGATTTCAGCGGATGGCTGGGCATAGTGGCACATGCCGTTAATCCCAGCACTTGGGAGGCAGAGGCAGGCAGATCTCTGTGAGTTCAAGGCCAGCCTGGTCTAGATTGAGAGCCCAGCAGGCATGGCAGGGCTTTTGGGCTGGGGGCTCCTTTGTTGGTAGCTGTAGTTAATCAGATGTCAATAACCCTATATCTATTCTCTCTGGCCACTAGATTTCTCCAGGAATGAATCCTCTAGCCTTCCACTACAGAGAAGTTAAGTCCCGTTGTTCAGATACTGGTAGGTTTGGTGTTAGGGGACGGTGTTGTTGTAGTGTTACCATTCAGTCTGTAGGTTCTTCTGCAATCTCCCCTTTTGTTCAGGTGACATTTGCCCTTCCTTTGGGTTATACTGTGGTTATGTCTAGGGCTTCTGTTTTTAGCCATTATATGATTTGCTTTTTTACTGTTCTGGGGTAGGGAGAGGTAGTTGCTTGGCCCTGTGATATAGACAAGTTGATACGTGTTCATGTGTTTTCTGGAGACTTTGACCTAATCCTTGAGCTTTCACAGATACCCACTGCCTTTATTCCTGCATGTCTCCCTGATCTTTGTGGTTCAAACCAATGTGGTTTTGGCTTTTTGGCCTACCTACCATGCATCTCTTTCTAGGTCTCAGCCTTCTGTTGTTTTTAAGTCAGTTACTACTTGTCCATCCTTTCAAATGTTAGGAAAGATTTAGCAACAGTTTGTGTCTTAAGGTTAACATTATCCTGTGATAGAATTTGAGATATCCAGTTGTAAATTTGCTTCCCACAGTAATTTCTGTTTTATTGTGACCTGAGTAAGTTACTTCTTTGTATCTTGTTTTTGTTTTTGTTGTTGTTGTTTCAGAGACAGGGTCTCTCTGTAGCCCCCAGCTGGCCTGGAACTTGCTATGTAGACCAGGCTGGCCTCAAACTCACAGAGATCTGCCTGCCTCTACTGCCTAAGTGCCGGAATTTAAGGTGTGTACTATGCCCAGCTGTGTGTGTGTGTGTGTGTGTGTGTGTGTGTACAAATTGTTTTTTTAAGATATAATTTATATATAATAAAATTCATCTATTTAAAATGATGCCAGGCATGGTGACAAATACCTGTAATCACAGCTCTTGGGAACTGGAAACAAGAGTATTCCTAGCTCTAGGCCATTCCAGCCTATATAGCTAGATACTGTCTGAAAAAAGGACAGAGCTGGGCAAGGTGGTACATATCTGTAATCCCAGCACTTGGGAGGTGGAGATGGGAAGAACAGGAGTTCCAAGAATCCTCCTGTCTCTGCTTTCCTGAAGCTGGGATTACAAGCATTGGCACCATGCCCAGTTTTTTTATCATGGTTTCTGGAGAGCAAACTCATGTCTTCATGTTTGCAAGGCAAACACTTTACTGACTGAATTATCTCCTTAATGTCCATCAATGACTTTTTTTTTGTTTTTATTAGAGATAGAATGTTATATTGTAGCCTATGCTGGCCTCAAACTCAAGGCAATCCTTCTGAACCAAGTACTGAGCTTGAAAGCAAAATACTTGAATGTGTGTCTGTATATGTGTTATTGAACCCAGAACTTTACACACATTAAGCAAGTGCTACACTGAGTTACAGTCCCAGGCCCTTGTGAATGACTGAAATTACTCTTTCTGGTTTGCCTTCCAGATCCCACTGACCTCTGACTTTTCTCTTCAGGTGACTTATGCTGCCAGAGATGCGCAGATTTCAGTGGTTCTCTTTCTCCGTCTTCTTGGATACCCTTTTTCTAGAAGTTCCTCTGAGGAGGAAAATGACGACCACATCAGCTGGATAGCAGTCTTGGAAAGATACCGAGATATGGTGGACATCCCGTTCCGGAGCAAAGCACTTAGCAGATTGGGTGAAGAGGTTAATGGGGAAGCACTAGAATCTCAGCAGAAGCCAAGAAATAAGAAGTCTAAGTGTGATGGACTGGTACCAGGCAACCACCAAGGGAGAGACCCCAGGAAGCATAAAAGAAAGCCCCTGGGGGTGGGCTATTCTGCCAGGTAACCCATATGTTCCCGGCTGGTGAACAGTTAGGGGCCCAAGTTGACTATGAGTCAGACAGCAGAGGCTCTCCAGAAGTTAATGGTACTTTTCTCTGCCTTTAGAGATATTTGCACTAGGCTTCTCTATGTGTGCTTTTCTTCTTTCACTCTTCTTTGACTTTTCTGTTTAGCAACTGGAGTGGAAATAAGGAGCGTTTAGCCTAGTTTTGTCATGACCCTGGTATACTCAGACATGTAACTTCACCCACAAAAGTGGTATAGGACTGGTGAGATGGCTCAGTGGGTAAAGGGACTTGCCACCAAGCCTGATGACCTGAGTTCAATCCCCCCTGGACCCACATGGTAGAAGGAGAGAACTGACTCCCACAAGATGTCTTCTGATCTATATGTATGATGTATGTACCTCCCCCAGCCCCCCACATAAATAAATCTGAAAAAGGGGGTATGATTATTACCCCTTGTTTTGAGACAGGTGCAAATAGGGACAGCATGAAGCCCTCATGCTTCCAGGGGAGATGCATCATCAGATTTCTTGTTCGTTTAGAGTGGTTCCCAGGTCTAAGCCAATGTTATTCTGTAGCTAATGTGAATTTCCTCTATGACTTACACCTCTGTTGAGGAAGATGACTAATAAGTGCTTTGGAGCTGAAGTTTGATTCTCTAGAGCAAGGCACCTTTAGGAATTGGATGATTAAGTTGAAGGAAGTGTTGCATGTGAGCCAGACATCAATTCACATGACCCTCATTACTTTATCTTGAACTCTTACAGTTTTTAATTTACTCCGTTTAATTCAGTGATTTGGCAGTTTATTGGTGCTCTGTTTCTGTTTGCATTCACAGCAGAGTTCTGTAAACACCACACAACTCACTCCCTAATATCTTAGGTCGTAAGTGCAGAAACCAGAGGTATCACAATTCATTTCTAGTTCTGTCCTAGCTCAATGCAGTTTGAGGATTGAACATGGTTTCTTGCCTTCCCCTCCCCCCCATATGTAATGTGTTTGACTCTAGTTTCCTTTCCTGCAGAAAATCACCTCTCTATGACAACTGCTTTCTCCAAGCTCCTGATGGACAGCCCCTCTGCACTTGTGATCGGAGGAAAGCTCAGTGGTACTTGGACAAAGGCATTGGAGGTCAGACTCATCTGCCTTAGTTTATTTATAAATAGGTGCATATGGGGCGTGGCAGGAGTTGGGCATGGAAGAGGGTGGATAGAGGAAAGCAGGGAGACCTTGAGATATGTGGGACTGGCTAGTCATTCCCCAGTGTTCTCTGCCAGTGCACAGCAGAGAATAGTTACGAGAGTACTTCTTGGTAGTGGCAGAGGTGGGAGCAGCTCAACACTGATGTGCTTTCCTTTCCCTAAGAACTGGTGAGTGAAGAACCTTTTGTGGTCAGGCTACAGTTCGAACCCGCGGGAAGACCTGAATCCCCAGGAGATTATTACTTGATGGTTAAGGAGAACCTATGTGTTGTATGTGGCAAGACAGATACTTACATTCGGTGAGTATAACATGTTAAGGCTGCCATGGTTGTCTTCCTTATGTGGAGATTGCCCATGTAGTCACATGCAGAGCCCTCAGAGGCCTTTGTTGTTTTCACACAATGGCACAGAGACTTGGCCCTACCGATATCCCAGTTTCTTTAATGGCTTCAACATTGGGCCTGGCCATCTGTAGAGGCCTGTATCCTTTCTGAGTCAGCTCTTGGTTTCTAGAATGCAAAACTATTCTCAGAAACTGTCTGCTTTGAAGAAAGTAGCTTCTTATTACTCATGAGGACTGAAGACACCTTTCAGAAGCTATATTCCTGTGTCCCTCCCATGAGGCTCTCAAGATTTCTGAACCTTGGTATTGGTCATGGAGTTCCCCAAAGGCTGCTCTTTCACATTCAAGTCCCCACAGTGAATCAGAAGCTGCCCACTGGCTTCAGTACCTATGTTTGGGCTTTCTCCCAATTATTACTTGTGTAATAATTCTTTCTTTTTTCCCCTCTTCCCTCCCTTACTTCCTAGTGTTTTTGTTGTTTGTTTCAATTTTTTTTAGACATATGTAATGTGCTTTGGTCACATTCACCCTCCAGTACTTTTTTTTCACTTTATGACAGAGTATCTCTGTATAGCTTTGAATATGACGATCCTCCTGACTTAGCCTTCCAAGTACTGAGATTACTGGCATGTACCTCCATGCCACACTATAGTAATTCACTTTCTTTCCTTCTCCTTCTGCAAAGTGGGATGTTTTTCGAAGAGTTTAGTTCTTCTTAGAAAATGATAGACTGCCGGGCATGGTGGCGCACGCCTTTGATCCCAGCACTCGGGAGGCAGAGGCAGATGGATCTCTGTGAGTTCAAGGCCAGCCTGGTCTATATAGTGAGTTCTAGGACAGCTGGGGCAACAGAGAGACCCTGTCTCAAAAAAACCAAAAAAAAAAAAAAAAGAAAATGATGGACTTTGGTGAAACAGGAAGTAATGTCAGGATTCCTCAGATGAGGGAGGTTGGTTTGCTTCTTTGAGAGAGTTATTGTCTAGGTATCAAAGACCATTAGAATAACATTTCATTTCTCTGAGACTTTTCTTTCTGGGAACACAGCTTTCTCAAAGGTTGTTATTAGCCTTTTCCATTGAAGTGCAGATAGTCTGCACTTAACTTCAAGGAGATAGGACCCTAAAGCACAGGTGGGTAAAGCAGGTAGGTAGAAGTCTGAGGCTTACCAGTGACATAGGTAGTGTTGTCCTCATGTAACCTCTATTTGAGTTGTGCTGCCTAAGCTTTTTCAGTCATGGCTAGGCCCGGGTTAGAGTCCCAGCTGGTTACCTGCTGGCTCCCTATGTGCTCTGTATCATAAGCTAATGGACACTGTTCTTGGGGTGGGCTCATTTCAGGAAAAACATAATTCCACATGAGTACCGCAAGCACTTCCCAATTGAGATGAAAGACCACAACTCCCATGATGTGTTGCTGCTCTGCACCTCCTGCCATGCCATCTCTAACTACTATGACAACCATCTGAAGCAGCAGCTGGCCAAGGAGTTCCAGGCCCCTATAGGCTCAGAAGAAGGTTTACGCCTGCTGGAAGATATGGAGCGCAGGCAGGTGCGGTCTGGGGCCAGGGCCCTGCTCAATGCAGAGAGTCTGCCTGCCCATCGGAAAGACGAGCTGCTACATGCACTTAAAGAGTTTTATAACACAGATATTGTTACAGAGGAGATGCTTCAAGAGGCTGCCAGCCTGGAGACCAGGTACAACTTACAGTTCTGGTCAGAGAACAGATAGGGGAATAACCCTCATTGCTTCATATAAGTAGGCACAATGCTTAGCCACATGTTTATTAACTCAGTGTCTAATTTAAGGTACTGTGCGAGTAGAATCAAACAACATGAGATTTTCCTTTTCGTAAGAGATTTGCCAGGGCTAGTGCGATGACTCAGCGGGTTAAGGCACTTATCGCCAAGCTTGACAATCTGACTTTGACTCCTGGGACCCACATGGTAGAAGGAGAGAACTGATTCCCACATGTGTGCCA